ACTTAGTGCGATTTGTTACTAAAGATATGTAGCCGAAAACATTTTGGCCTTCATTTATGAAGGAATGTGATTTTATTGGATATGGTTTATAACAGAAAGTAGAAAATAATTGTTTTTGTTACAAAATTTTATATATATATATATATATTTATATATATATATATATATATATATATATATATATATATATATATATAAAAATCCAGTGGTGCTCTCGAATATCACCAATAGCAAGCTCTGTGTGGGGAAAAAGTGAAATTAAATTTGGGTACAATGGTGCATGATGGAGCAATTGTCAGTAGTAGCACCGTGCAGAATAGCAAGAAATGTCCTGGTCATGAAAGGGGTAAAACCCTCTGGAGGTCAGGTGGTTAAAAGAAGGGATGCTAGACTGTGGTAAATATGGCCTTGTCCCAACTTTTTTGAGATGGGTTGCTGCCATTAATTTAAAATTTACAATATTTTTTTGTAAAATTTTGGGTAAAAGCGTACATTTTCTTAATTTAACCGCCTCCTGCCCGCCATATAAAGAAATGATGGGCGCAAGGCGGTTCTCTCGTTCTGGGAGGACGTCATATGATTTCTTCACACTCTAACCGCGCGCGTGCGAGTCTTTGGGGGCGCGCAGTGCGGCGATCGGTGGTGCGCTGTGTCCATCAGCGGAAAGAGCCGATCACTTCGGCTCTGTCATGTGATCAGCTGTGTCCAATCACAGCTGATCGCATGTAAATAAGGAAATGCCGATTATCAGCATTTTCTCTTCTCACGAGCTGTCGCGTTGACAGCTTGTGAGGAGAGGAGAGCCAGTATTTGGAATTACTCAGATGGGACATCTATCAGTGCCCTGATGATCAGTGTAGCCCCATCAGTGCCACCTGTCAGTGCCCATCAATGCCACCTGTCAGTGCCCATCAGTGCCACATATCAATGCCTACTAGTGCACATCAATGCCACATATCAGTGCCCATCTGAGCTGCTGTTCAGTGCTAGTCAGTGCTGCCTATCAGTGCCATATGAGTGCTGCCTTTCAGTGCCCATCAGTGATGCCTGTCAATGCCCACCAGTGCTTCCTCATCAGTGCCCATCATTGCAGCCTTATTAGTGCACATCAGTGAAAGAGAAAAATTGCTCATTTACAAAATTTTATAACCGAAACTAAGAAAAAAACTTTTTTGGTTTATAAAAAATAAAAAAAACCCAGTGGTGATTAAATACCACCAAAAGAAAGCTCTATCTGTCTCAAAAAAAGATAAAAATTTCATATGGGTACAGTGTTGCATGACTGCGCAATTGTCATTCAAAGTACGACAGCGCTGATAGCTGAAAATTGGTCTGGGCAGGAAAGGAGTGAAAGTGCCTGGTAGGCAAGTGCTGAAACATTGTATATGTTTTCTATTGTGAATAAAATAGGGGTGTGTGAGATTTGCAAATCATTGCATTTGGTTTGTATGTATATTTTACACAGCATCCAAACTTTTTTGGAATTGGAGTGTATTTCGTTTATATTGTGTGAATGGGAACAAAAAGTGGGGGGTTCTCAAATTTGCAAAAGTGAAAAATACACTCTTTAATAGAAATCAGATTCATGAGAGTCTCCAAATTTTTAACATCTGACACTTGGGTGAGACACATCAATGTACTTGACTTTTTTTTGGGTAATATTGCATGACATTTCTCTCACTGACAACCCAGAGGTTGTCTTAAAATGTACACCTATGTCCAGAGAGCATTACCAAAAGGCATTACTTATCTGTCTTCTAAATGCTACAAAGGCTTGCATTCCTAGCACATGGAAAAAACAAGCAACACTTCTGGTGTCTCAGTGGGTTTCCAGGTTGAGTGGTATATAGCATGTGGAACACTTTACTTCTGCCCTTAGGGGACAATCTGAAGACTACACAACTAGGTGGTTTAACCTCAGTGATTCTCTAACCCCACCCCCCTTATACATTTAAAGAAACCTGGTGGGTACCTTAACTGCAGATGCATCCGATAATGTTCCCTCCCTCAAACACTGAAATGCACTGGGAGGTGGTCTTCTGTTATACTATGCACTGATTCGTGTATGTTTGATTGTGGTTCTATTCGATAATACTGATTCTAGAGATTAGGCGCTTTGTAATATAATTGTCAATTTGCTGTATCCTTCAAATAAAGAATAAAAAAAAAAAACTAAGTTTTTTTGTCCCAAAGTGTATCTAAACCCAAGAACAAAGACTGATTGTATTGCAGATTATGAAGGCCAACACACATTTTGGTGCCTCGAATGTTGGACCTGTTCCTGAGTATATTTGACCTGTTGATTCCAAAAATGTTTCCCTGTCAGCTGTAGGTTTTGAGATGCGGCATAAATGCCATATACCACTCTTCACTCTGGTTGCCCCTAAAAAAATCATGTTTTATTTAATCTCCTTGTAGCATGAAAGAAAAAGAATAAAAAAGTAGCCATAAGCTCTACAGTGCTCAATCTGCAAAAATAAAATGATACAAGTAGCAATAAACACACACCTCATATACAATCATAACTATAATACATTTAATACCTTACACTTCTGAATTCAATGTTTACAATGTAAAATTACAGTTGGAAGTACATAAACACTCTCACTATATTTGCTGACTTGTATGCAAAAACAATATTGCTCTAAACAGAAGAGCAAGATCTTTTTAAAAACGGACAACAAAATATACATTTGTCAATATTTAAGAAACTACATCGGATGCAGTCTAGCCAATGCACTTTTCTGAATCTGCACCAAAAATAACCCCAAGAACAGCTGTAAAAAGCAAGGCATCAATATATTTTTTTTTTTCCTTTGATGTAGTGGCTAAATAGGCTTTCTTTTTTCACACTTTTTTTTCTTTATTTTCAGCTAGAGATCCTGCCAGGAATACACTTTCTTTTTTAAGGTGACAACCATATACTGTATCTAGGAGGAGCAGCATTGTCACCCTAGGAGAGGAGTGTTTCAGGACTATATAACGCCTACAGTACTTGGAAAAAGTGTTGCACTGTCAAACAGAATCAATTAATGCAATAAGTAATTTACAGTGCAAAAATTCAATCCATAATTAAAGTCCATTATTAACTCAATTCATAAAGTCCACCGTGAGTGGAAATAATCACCATGTATCCAGTGTGCACAAGAATGCATGAAGATTATTTATACTCACTGTGGACTTTATAAATTAATTTAGTTAATAATGGGCTTTATTTAATTTTTACACTGTTGATTACTTATTGCACTAATTCTGTTTTGACAGCACAACACTATTTTCAAATTGATGCTTTTGATGCTTCAGTCGATAATTTCACATTAGTTCTTTGTGGTTTGATCACATTTTCTAGCGCGTGATATACGTATCATTTGACTGTATTAGATCCGGGTTACACTGGATGTGAATTGGCATGCAATTTGCACTTGCAAATTGCATGCCAAATCGCAGCCTTTTGTCCGCAATTAGAGCAGTCGTATCGGTGCGGTTCCGACTTGGTCGGAGCCGCACCGATTTGTAAAGCAGTACATGCACTACTTTTGGTGTGATTTCCATTGCCATCTGTATCAGATGTCTTGCAAATCATACCTGAAATCGGCATGTCATCCGACTTTGAAATCGTGCGACTTCACTGTAAGTCGCACGATTTCAAAGCAGTGTTTGATGTGACCGAGGTATAATACCTGCCTTCTCCATGTCATAGAGGAGGTGTTTTTAGTCAACAGAGGAAGAGGGAGCAGGAAGATGTCAGTTCAGAAGTTTTTGGGCCAGATGAACAGGGTTTTTTTTTTTTTTTTTTTTTTTTAAGATATAACATGCTTTGCTTGGTAAATTTTAACAGACCATACGGGAGCAAGAAAAAAAAAAAAAGAAATGTTAGAATTTACATATACTTTAAAGAAATATACATGCCTGCTTCTTTTCCTATCATTTAAAGTAATATTCTCTTTTGAAAGTATATCTGTCAGCAGTATTACATTTATGTATAAACACTAGTGAGAAACTGAAGTAGGAAGAAAGTTAAAACATTTGTGAGAAATGATTGTTTGTCAGAACAGAATATGCCCTTATTATAGATACAGAAATGTCTGCAGCTGTCACAATGTAATTGTGGGGCAATTTTCTCACACAGTGTGAAAAATGGATACAATTACTGTGCCAAATTTCATAAGCCTGGATAATATTTACAGTTTTACTAGTCCTTTTGATACCTTTCATATTTCTGTACAATCTGTTTTTTGTTTTTGGTATTTCTCAATTCTGTACATTTTACCCAACATGGATATGAGCAATATACATTGAAGAACACTCCTTCTCCTTATGTAGGGTAACTGTTAAAAGAAACAAATTTTTTTTTGTATTTTTTTATAGTAATGTAGGCATTGTGGCTTGTGACTCCAAAACATACAGATTTCATAAAACAATTTGATGCGGTCTGTAATTTAGTCTTGCTTTTACTCTTAACTCATATATTAACTAATATAACTACTTTTAACAATAGCTATCTGTAGACTATAGCAGATCTTGGAACCAAAGATGTTGAGATTTATTCCTCTGTGACATTTGCAGAGTCATGTTTGAATGACATAAGGCAGTTGTTTTTTGAAAGATTACATACAATGGCGGAGTAAAAAAAAACAAGTTTAACTTAATTTGACAAAACTAGGCATGTCTCACTTGTTATAGTTCTACATATGATTCCTCATACATCGGTTTAGCAGCACAGAAAGATAATTTTGGACCCTTTTGGTGATCAGTGTCCTGTGTATGTCCCAGATTGCAAGGCTAAATGATTTACATAATCTTCTCCAGTGTCAGAGGCTTGAGTTGATTATCTCATGAGTGTCAGTGTGTTTCTTGCCTGCTAGCATACACGGTTTTCCTTACAATGAGGATGTCTGATGGCCAGATTTGTACAGATCAGCCATCAGACCAGCCTAATGTGCTTTTTTACATACCTGTAAAGTTTTTGTTATCCTTTTTTTTTTTTTTTTTCCCCCTAGCACTTTACGTCAGCGTGCTGACCCAGTGTACAGTCCACCTTTGCAAGTATCTGGTCTCTGTTGGAGGTTAAAGGTTTATCCGGTGAGTTAACGTTCTTGAGAATCTAGTGCATTCAAAAGCATTCTTCAATTTAGATACTGTTAAAAGCAGGATATAAGGCTGGCCTTACTAGGGGTTTCTATAATGGATAAAACTGTATTTGACACGGATATCTAGTGGTAGTTGGCCCCATTTAAATGGACTTGTTCTGCAAAGCTGAAGATGTTTCATAGCTTATTTAAGACATTTTTTTCAGTTTTGATCTCTTGAATGTGACGAACGTCTACTAGATATACCACGACCTGGATAAAGAAGAACCTTCACAAACACCTAATGCTGATATTTACGTTTTTAATATATATCTGTTTGTGTTTATTACCCATTGGGCTATCACTGCTAAATTCAAGTGTTGAGAATTCCTTGTTGTAAGTTGTCCCCTCTATACTAAAGGAGTCACTAAAAGTTTTTGTGACTCTTCTTATCCATTTTTATACTACATTATGATGATCCTGTGCGGTTGAATGATGCACATGATTGCTTTGATTTGTAATGGATACACCAGTTGAGCAGATAGAGTGCAAAGAGATAGCCAAAATGCAATTTTAACTTGAAAACCTCTATTTCAAGTGGAACTCGACTTTCTCAATCAACATGAACTATTGTTAATCCTTATGCTGCTAGCCTTAGTAAATAGATTTACTTGTTTTAAACTTTTCTTTTTCTTTTTTACATTTCTTCAGTTGCTTCCTTGTCTCTGACCTAGGCCAAAACGTTGTTATACATACTTTTCTACATGGGTGTGGTGTATGTGTTTTTTTTTTTTTTTGGTTTTTTTTTTTCATCATTTGAAGGAAGAGGGAGGGGTTTTCTCAGCTAAGCACACCCTCCTGCCTGCATGCCTGAACTAATGGCAGATGGATTCCAAAAGTAAATGCTACATGAATCCTCTGCCTTTACTCAAGATGGATTTAACTTGAAATGTTAGGGTGTGTGTTTTTTTAAAGTGAAGCTTGGAGACATGGAGGAATGGGTGCGTTTATTATGAATATTAACAATGAATGAAATGGCTTTTTCATTTTTTGGAGCTCAGATACAGTTAACTCCTGCTTTCAGGATGTATTTTTCCTGATTTTAAGAAGACATTTTACATTTATGTGCTGTGTCCCTTTTAGGATGGAAATGGAGTCGTAAGAGGGTACTATTTATCAGTCTTCCTGGAACTTTCTGCTGGACTCCCAGAGACATCAAAGTATGTATTCTCATTCTAATTTATACTTTGCGTCTTTAATATTTTGTTATTTTATTATATTTAGTTTCTGTTTTTTTTTTTCCTTTGTTTTTTTTTGGCTATGGTATATGTAGTCACTTTTAGGGCTCTTTCACATTGGTGGGGGGTTAAAAACGGGCAACTGTGCTGTGGCCACCATAATTCTAACATTACAGCCTGACAGGGCTGTATACGTGCTGTGTATGTATATAGACTTTAACTTGGGGTGCGGCATTTTACAGGTGGTTGTAGTGCAGCACCAGATCAGTGGAGTCGCATTGTATCTGCTAGCCAATATGCTTGGCTTGCATTCGTGGCATTTTTTCCTCAATGTAAAATTGCCAAGTGGCTTTTAATCCACTGTGGATCGTTTTTCACAGGGTGGTAAGCTTTCGGTCTGTCTTAAGATCACTTAAATCAGCTGTCAGGGCCTGGCAGAGACAGAAAAGATACCTTTTTTGGGTGCTATGCAGGTGGGGATACAGCTAATAAGGAGCCTCCTACCCTCACATTACCAAGCTGTCCTGAAGACCGGACCTGTCAAAATGAAAGCTCAGTTTTGTAGATTAGAGAGCAGCTATCTCTGTAGTAATCTAAATGCTACTGTCAGTGTGACAGGCTCCCCTGTATCAGTTGGTCTGTGTGCTCTTAATAAATGTTGCACAATGAATGGCTGCCAGTGACAGCAAAGATCTGCAGATTATGCAGGGAGAGCCACGGTTTCCCAGAGCAAACTACAGGACTGAGCGGTCAGTATGACAACTCATCTCTGCTGTGCATTTATGGATCAAAGCCACTGTAGCCTTTTGGGTGTGTTTTGGCATACTCACATTGGGTGCTGGAGGATCTCAGTTGAGCTTTGAATAAGGTACACAAATATTATTTCCTATGAAGAAAATTAAGAAAATTTGAACATGCTCTACGTTTTGTCCTATGTCCCTTGTCATGGGCACCTTTTGTGGATCTAAAGTTAACTTATTCTTTTTAGGACAGGTGGCAAAAAGACACTCATCATAGCTATACTTGTCATCAAAATGTCTTCTAGTCAACTGGAAACCCACAGTTATGTTGCTTCTATTTGTAATACTGTTATTTCCCTCCAGGTATGAGTATCGAGTGGAGATGGTTCACCAGTCTTCCAATGATCCTGCTAAAAACATCATTAGAGAATTTGCATCAGATTTTGAGGTGGGAGAGTGCTGGGGATATAATCGTTTCTTTCGACTGGATCTACTTGCAAATGAAGGCTACCTTAATCGTGCAAATGATACTGTAATTTTAAGGTAATGATTGAATCAAAGAGCATAGATATCTGCTATGTTAAGGCCTTTTAGATATTAAAGTAGAACTAAAGTTCCTCTGTCTCTTCTGCAATAAAATACACCGCCTTCCCTGCTTGCTGTCTCCTCTGGTGATGTAGTCTGGGGTATGCATGTGCAGCTAACATTATATAGCTAGCACTGTCCCTGTGTTCTGGGATGATGGCCTCCTGCAACAGCCAATGAAGGTGGCTGAAGACTAGCACCCAGGAGAAGATGCATGCAAGGGGAAATGTAAGTTTAGCCCCACTTTAAGGTGTGCTTATAATTATAGTAAAGTAAAATGTGAAAAAAGACAACTACAAAACAAAGCAAAAAGAGGAAACCTGACATAAAACCCTTAAACAAGAAGCTTTACATGAGAAATCCAGGCAAATTATAATATTTAAAACGTGCGTGCACATCGCAGTGATTCATCCTGGTATTGGATCTGTGCTGTCTCAAGGTTGTGGTGAGTGTTCCATTCCTACATAATCTGTACACACAGCTGAGCACCAGTCCAGGGAGACAAAGCACCACAGCGCCCAGATCTCAGCAACCTACACAGGATATACTGCACCATGATGTTTTATTTCTTATATACTCATGGACCTGAGAGTGAAGTCTGAGTGTAGTCCAGGGTTAGAACGATATTCCATCATCCGTCAAGGACTAGTTTGGGGATAATCTCTAAAGTGCTGTTGGCGTTTTCATTAATTTGAAAGCCAAATAATTTGGATTTTCTGGAAGCGCTATTTTCCACATATTTGGATGTTTGTTACCTGAGCACAATTTTGTTGGACTGTCACTTTTGATTGATTAGTGCTGCAGTTTTTAGTTTTGCGCTCTGCCTTATGAACTGAATGGACAGAAATGCAAAAATCTTTTGAAAGGTAAAACTGCTCCCATATTTGCTTACCAGCTTGTTTGTTTGCGTGGAGCTCAGCTTTAAACCACGTACTTAGTATATTGTACCTGTAGGTGTAAATTGTGGAAGTACTAAGGTATGTTTTAAAGAACTACTCAGGGGTGTTGAAATTTTTAAGAAAACTACTTGTTCAAGGGACTAAATCAGGGTCCCAGTCTACTTGTCCCTCATGACTATATACTTCTACCTGATATACCTGATAAAAAAAAAGAAAAGCTTCTGCTGTCACACACAGCGTTTGGATTGCCAAGTCGCTGCAGGAGTGGGAACATGTTATATGTTCCACTCTTAAAACAGGAGGAACATGTTCCTAGAGGTGAACTTATTTTAACCCTTTCACTACCAGAGCAGATTTGTGGGGTTTTTTGCACACGTTTAAAAAATCATTTTAGGCCTAAAGAATCTATAATACCCCCAAAACATTATACGTTTTCTGAAAGCAGACACCCTAGAGCAGGGCTTAAAATTTCGAGTCTAGACCTACTAACCAGGCACAAACCTTACTCTCCACCAGTTGCCCACCCAACCTTGCCCAGGTCTGCCTCCAATCCCACCCTGGCCGTCGTCCCCAACCCCGCCCCCAACCACACCCCCTTAAAGCTTATGAAATTAAATTTTTCTTTAGAGTAAAGAGTCCAAAATATAAAAAACTGCAATTATAACATTGCTTAATTATGTCAATTTAAACATAACAGCAATAGCTTAATAGCAATAGGGTGCAATCAAAATATCACGTTTTTACAGCTTTAAACCTGTAGTAAACATTTTGTATTTTTTTTGTTGATCTCCTGTATCTTTAAAAAGAGACTTTAGTAACTGAAGTCTCTTTTAAAAGATGTAAGCTTAGTTTACAGAAGTATTGCATAAGAAAAAGTGCTTATTTTGATGCCAAAACACATGGAATAATAGTTACCGTAAACATGTTGTATTTTTTATCTCCAGCAGAGACCTTAGAGAAGTGTGGCATTAAGAAAAATGAAAAAGTGCCTCTTTTGATGGCCAAAAAACTTTAACCTATTTGTACTACTGACTTATTTTGTATTAGTTTGTTTACTAAGGGCAGGTATCTAGGCCAATCACTGGAGCAACCCTGTACTATATTAAATAGCTCTTCAATGAGGTTTGTGCATATACATTTATATTCCACATCCCTGACAAACAGAATACATCTACATTGACAGATCTCTTTGCAAAATATACAGATGCTAATATAAATGGACCTGTTTGCTGTAAACTATTGACCTTTTTGGTGTCTCCATCATTATCTTCTGTCTTTCCAATACTCTCACACAAGCACGCTCTCATAAACATCTGTTTCTCACCGAGTAGTAATAGTTTCACCGTCTTGGCATCCTTGGTAGCATCTTCCTGCAATTTTTTCTCAAGCTCCTTTGATCTCTTTGTCTTTTGCGCTTGCACCACTTCCCATCTCTGTGTCCCCACCTTCGGTATCAAGCTTCCCAGTTTCCTCCAGCTCTATGCTATGGGTGTCTGTGCTTCCTTGTCTTCCACTTGTGAGAAATCTACTGGAGTGTCCCCCGCGGCGGCAAAGAAGAAACCGGAAGTCGGAAACCAGAAGTCGGCTTCACAACGATGCTTGGAGTGCAGGTGGAGCCGCTCCATCTGTGCTCACCACACAAGGATTTCCCCTCGCATTTGGCGAGCTGCTTTTTCAAGCTCTGCCCTAGAGTATAAAATAGTTGTAGTTTCAATTTTTTATTCACACGATATTACCAAAAAGGTCTAGAGGAAACAGTGTGTGTGTGTGTGTAAGCATTTAAGCAGCAGCAGAGCCACCTGAATGCATCCACCTGACAAGACCTGCCACTTGCCTGCAGCAGGGCTAAATGTAGAGAACAAAAACTACCTGACCGGTGCCCAAACCTACATGTTCCAGGCATGGGGGGCGAAACAAATTGAGCATACCTGCCTACTGTGGACATTTTCTTTTTTTTTTTTTTTTTTTTTTTTTTTTTTAAACTGATGTCCCAGGAGGTAGTGAAAATATTAAAGCAGTACTCCCCACCTCTCCAGGACTGCCCCCCACAGTAATTCTAGATGATATCCTCATTATATCAGGTTGATCAATGCCTAGTGTGTTACTGTGTGTGCACTGCATTATGAACCTGCCCCCTGAGGCATTGCCACTTTACCCTGCACTCATGTTATAATAATGTAGAGAGTTGAGTTCAGTGCTGCTCTCTGCATTATTAAATATTGCCTGGGGGCGGAGCTGGCTTCTGGCAAGTACAGTAAGCAGTGAGGAATCAGAGCTCTGGCGGGGACACAGTATCCTGCAGCCATTCTGACACACATAGGGCTGAGATTTTATACTGGCCAAACACGTGAAGGGAGGAGGAGGTGGGTGAGCAATCCACGATGGTAAATATTGGACAGGCTGGTGGGAAATCCTCGGGACAGCGCCTTGCTAAGTTTGCCTGGGGCTCTCAAGATCGCGGCTGTTAGACATGTGGAGGGGAGGACGTGATCGAGGAGCAGTCACAAACATCCGGTGCAGCTGTGGGTAATGTATCCCAGGGAAGCGTTTTGCCTAAGAGGGATTGCTCCACTAAGAAGGGACAGTCGGGGGTCAGTCTGCATGAGTCGATGGATGGTGACAGGGACAGAGGAGAGGGAGAGCAGCAGGAGCCATCGTTAAAACAGATAATGTCAGCCATACACCTCTGCTAGACAACTCTCACTGATCATATCGATGGACTTAAAGTGGATTTGGCATTCCTAAAACAAGATATGCAAACTGTTAAGGAAAAAGCTGATGAGTCTGAAAAACGGATCAGTGATTTAGAGAACATAATTCATCCATTAGAGGGATCAGTTCAGACCGCTACCAAGGAGCTGACTGCTCATACTGGCAAGCTTGGAAACTTAGAGGACAGGCTACGTCGCAACAACATCAGGCTGGTGGGCTGGTAAACAACCTGAGGATTTTCTGGAAAGATGGCGTAAGGAACATATGGACGCTAATACTTTTTCCCACCTTTTTGCCAAAGAACGGGGCGCACCGGGTCCCCATGTGGGCCCCAGGTCTGGGAACTCCTCCTAGGCCTATGATGGTACGTTTACTGCACTTCCGAGATCAGGAGAATATTTTGAAAGCGGCTAGAACACTTGGAGAACTTTCATGTAATGGCAGTCGTATATTTATCCTGATTTCTCTGCAGCTACACAGAAACAGAGATCGAGTTTTGTGTATGTTAAACGCCTGTGAGAGAGTCAATTGATTTACAGTATGATGTATCCGGTGAAGCTGAGAATAATGGTTTGGGGAACAGTGCACTTTAACAGTCCTGTGGAGGCTTCTCGGTGGCTGGATGCCAGAGGATGCCCGCCAGTACCAGATGGCCACATGGAAGACTGATCTCTTCTACTGATGATGTTTTTTATACTGAATGGAACTTGTTCTCTTTTGCTACTCAGGGGGAATGTGAGGCTATATGTGACCTCTCTGGGGAAAATATGATGTGAATTTGCTCTCTGACCATGATAATTTTGTGCTCCTGAGATTGTTGAGGAGACGAGCGAAATACTGTGCACTTTTGAACAATTTTATAAATCTTTGTACCAGTCTCAGGGGGAGGTTTCAACATCTTCAATGTCAGAATATTTGGCATCTATTTCTTTACCGGCACTGTCATGGGGGGGACAGAGGGCTTGGAACAGCCTATTACCTCAGAGGAGATTGAGGTTGTGATTGCTTCTTTCGCCCCTTATAAGTCTCCTGGTCTCGATGGATATCTGATTGAATTATATAAAGTGTATGGGTAACTGCTCGTGTCATATTTCCTACGGGTTTATAATTCGTCTAGGAGGCGGGGTGGAACTCCCAAAATCTATGCAGGAGGCTCTTATAGTCTTACTCCTGAAATCCAGAAAAGATCCCTTAGAGTGTGAATCATATTGGCCCATTTCTTTGATTAATACTGGCGTTAAAATTCTGGTGAAAGTGTTGGCAAAGTGCTTACAAGCGGTAATTCTAATGCTGGTTGGGTCTGACCAGACCGGCTTTTTGCCAGGCAGATGTGCTCATAATAATCTT